CAAATAACAGCCAATAGGAGAACAAGAGCAGTCAGTCAGCACAACACCCCAACATGTTTTCCTGTTGTTCGATATTTATTCTCCTTCACATTGTTCATAGGGAAAATGATATTACTGGAAATGTTGTGGTGATTGTATTTATTGCGTCATATCTCCCATTGTTCTAATAGTGCAGAACCAGCAGGGGCCCTACGGGGTCAAGTTCCTGGAGCCCTCCCATTTGCCCTAACAGGTGCGACACTCGCAAGGAGCATTCCCAGGGGCAACAGAGCACCCAGCGGCCCCTTCACGAGCAGTGGCTCCCAAAAGAGGCCCAACTTAGGGTTGCCGGCTCTCCCCGGGCCCCTCTCAGGGGCAACAGCGCCCCTGGGGTCCCCTGTCAGGGGCTGCAGTATCCTCAGGGCCTCTTCCAGAGGCTCTCTGGCGTCCCCAGGAGCCCTCCTAGGGGCGGCGGCGCTCCCTGGGACATTCCCAAGAGCAGCAGGTCGTCTGGGGCTCTCCTTAGAGGTGGATATGCTCTCCTGGACCTCTCAGGGGCAGCGACGCCTGGGGACCCATGACATGGGCTGTGACGTCCCAAGCGGCCCTATTAAGGGCAATGGCCCAGGGGGTCCTTCAGGGGGCATGGACGCTCCCAAGGGGCCTCCCAGATGCTGAGGTGGTGCTAGGAGCCCTCACAAGAGTGGCGGCGCCCTTAGGAGCCCCTACCACAGGAGGCGGGTTCTCCTTGGGGTGGCGGCGATCCCAGGGACGCCTGCCACCAGGGGGCAGTGGCCCCCCCAGGGAGCCATCCCACGGGTGGGGCGCCCAAAGTCCCACCATTGGCGGCGAACCTGCAAGGACACCAGGGGTGGTGGTGGCTGAGCCTTCAGGGGCGGCGGCGCACCCGGGGCCTTACCAGGGGCGGCAGCACCCCCATGGGCCCTCTCTATGGGTGGCAACGTCCCTAGAAGGCCCTTTTCAAGGCCGGCGGTGCCACCACAGACCCCTCAAGGGCAGTCGTGACCCCAAGGGCCTGCCGGTGGCGGCTCCCAAGAGCCCCCTGCCTGGGGCATCGCCTGCAAGGGCACTTTCAGGGAAGGTGGGCCCAATAGGCCCTGCCAGAGGCTGTAGCACTCCCAAGGCCTCTTCCAGGGGCTGTGGCGGCCCCAGGTGCTCTCAGGAGCAGCGGCGCCTCAGGGCCCTCCCAAAGCAGCCCGGATCCTTGGGGGCCCTACCATTAGCTGTGGCACCCCCAGGACCTCTTCCAGGAACTGTGGAGTCCCCGTGCCCTCCCAAGAGGCGGCGGCGCCTGGGGCCCTCCACGGTTGGTGGGGCTCCCAGGGCCCTCCAGAGGCGGCGGCGATCCCAGGGGCAAGATCCCCTTTGCTTCCTTGGTTGTGGTGTCGTACATATTGCGTCGAACAGCAATCCCTTACTTAACTGTGATTGGTGGACTAAATGTAAATCCACCAAATAACAGCCAATAGGAGAACAAGAGCAGTCAGTCAGCATAACACCCCAGGACTTATGTTTTTTCCTGTTCGATATTTATTCTCCTTCACATTGTTCATGAGGAAGATGATACTACTGGAGATATTTGTGGTATATTTATTTAACGTCCTTATCTCCCATTGTTCTAAATAGTGCAGAACCAACTGCCCAGGGGCCCCTCACGGGTCCAGCACTCCCTGGAGCCCTCCCATTTGCCCTAACAGGTGCGGCTCGCAGGGAGCCTTCCAGGGGCAACAAGCGCGGCCCTTCCAGGGGCAGTGGCTTCCCCAAGAAGGGCCCAACTTGGGGGGTGCCCGGCTCCCGGGGGCCTCTCAGGGGCAACGGCGGCCACAGGTGTCCCTGTCGGGGGCTGTGGTAGCCTCAGGGCCTATTCGGTCTGGCGTCTGCAGGGTCCTCCCTAGGGGCGGCGGCGCCCGTGGGAACTGCCTCCCAAAGGGCAGCAGGGCCCCTGGGGTTCTCCCTTTGGGGTGGAAGCTCTCTGGACCCTCTCAGGGGCAGCGGCGCTAAGGGGCCCCTGACATGGGCTGTGACGTCTCAAGGGGCCCCTAATGGGATGATGGCGCCCCCAGGAGTCTTCAAGGGGCGTGGACGCTCCCAAGGGACCTCCCAGATGCTGAGGCGGTACTAGGAGCCCTCACAAGGGTGGCGGCGTCTTTAGGGGCCCTACCGCGGGAGGCGGGTCACTCCTTAGAGGTGGCGGCAATCAGGGACCCCTACCAGGGGCAGTGGCCCCAGGGGAGGCCATCCCACGGGTGGGGGCGCCCCCAAGAATCCCACCATTGGCCGGCGAACCTGCAAGGACCCTCCCAGGGGTGGTGGCCGGCTGAGCCTTCCAGGGGCAGCGGCGCACCGGGGGCCTTACCAGGAACGGCAGCACCCCATGGGCCTCTCTATGGTGGCAACGTCCTAGAGGCCCTTTTAAGGCCGGCGGTGCCTCCAAGGAACCCTCCCAGGGCAGTCGGCCCAAGGTCCCTGCCAGGGGCGGCGGCGCTCCCAGGAGCCCTGCCTGGGGGCGGCATCGCCTGCAAGGGCACTCAGGAAGGTGGAGCGCCAATAGGCCCTGCCAGAGGCTGTAGCACTCCCAAGGCCTCTTCCAGGGGCTGTGGCGCCCCAGGTCTCTCTCAGGAACGCTTGGCGCCCTCAAGGGCCCTCCAAAAGCGGCGTTCAGCAGGGGCCTACCGTGCTGTGGCACCCCCAAGGACTCTTCAGGAACTGCAGGTCCCGTGCCCTCCCAAGGCGGCAGCGCCTGGGAGCCCTCGGGGGTTGGGGATCCTGAGGGCGGCCCCTCACAGGATCCCACTTTGCTTCCTTAGTTGTGGTGTCGTACATATTGCGTCGAACAGCAATCCCTTACTTAACTGTGATTGAGGTGGCTAAATGTAAATCCACCAAATAACAGCCAATAGGAGAACAAGAGCAGTCAGTCAGCATCACACCCCAACTTATGTTTTCCTGTTCGATATTTATTCTCCTTCACATTGTTCATGAGGGAAGATGATACTGGAAATGTTGTGGGCGGTGTATTTATTTAACGTCCTTATCTCCATTGTTCCTAAATAGTGCAGAACCAACTGCCCCAGGGGCCCTACAGGGTCAGCACTCCCTGGAGCCCTCCCATTTTGCCCCTATGGGTGCGGCGCTCGCAGGGGCATTCCCAGGAGACAACAGCTGCACCAGCGGCCCCTTCCGGGGGCAGTGGCGAAGCTACAAGGGCCCAACTTAGGGGTGCCGGCGCTCCCCGAGGGCCCTCTCAGGGGCAGCTTGGCGGCCACAGGTGTCCCCTGGCGGGGGCTGTGGTATCCCTCAGGGCTATTCAGGGTCTGGCGTCCGCAGGGTCCTCCCCAGGCGCGGCGGCGCCCGTGGGGAACCCTCCCAGGGCAGCCTGGGGCTTTCGCTGGGGGTGGAGAAGCTCTCCTGGACCCTCTTAAGGGCAGCGACGCCCCAAGGGCCCCTGACATGGGCTGTGACGTCTCAGGGGAGCCCTATTAGGGCGATAATGGCGCCCCAGGACTCTTCCAAGGGGCGTGGGCTCCCAAAGGGACCTCCAGATGCTGAGGCGGTATTAAGGCCCTCACAAGGGTGGCGGCGTCTTTAGGAGCCCTACCACGGGGAGGCGGGTCCTCCTTAGGGGTGGCGGCAATCCCAGGGACCCTGCCAGGGGCAGTGGCCCCGGGGGCCATCCCACGGGTGGGGGGCGCCCCCAAAGTCCCACCATTGGCCGGCGAACCTGCAAGGACCCTCCCAGGGGTGGTGGTGGCCCCACAGGCCTTCCAGAGGCGGCCGGCGCACCCGGGCGCCTTGCCAGAGACGGCAGCACCCCCATGGGCCCTCTCTATGGGTGGCAACGTCCTAGAGGCCTTTTCAAGGCCGGCGGTGCCACCAAAGACCCTCCCAAGGGCAGTCGTGACCCAAAGGGCCCTGCCGAAGTGGTGCTGGCGGCGCTCCCAGGAGCCCTGGCCTGGGGCGGCATCGCCTGCAAGGGCACTTTCGGGGAAGGAGGAGCTAATAGGCCCTGCCAGGCTGTAGCCACTCCAAGGCCTCTTCCGGGGGCTGTAGCTTGGGTCTCTCTCAGGGAGCAGCTTGGCATGCACTCAAAGGACCCCATCAGGCGGATCCATGGGGCCCTACCATTAACTGTGGCACCCCAGGACCTCTTCAGGAACTGTGGGGTCCCCGTGCCCTCCCAGGACGGCGGCGGGGCCCTCCACGGTTGGTGCAGGCTCCCAGGCCTCCCAGGCGGCGGCGATCCCAGGGGCCCTATTAGAGGCGGCCCCTCGCAGGACTCCCTTTGCTTCCTTGGTTGTGGTGTGGTACATGGCCATAGAACAGCAATCCCTTACTTAACTGTGATTGGTGGACTAAAATGTAAATCCACCAAATAACAGCCAATAGAGAGAACAGAGCAGTCAGTCAGCACAACACCCCAACTTATGTTTTCCTGTTCGATATTTATTCTCCTTCACATTGTTCATGAGAAATGATACTGGAAATGTTGTGGTGGTGTATTTATTTAACGTCATATCTCCCATTGTTCTAAATAGTGCAGAATAACTTTACAGGGGCCCTACGGGGTCAGCGTTCCCTGGAGCCCTCCCATTTGCCCCTGTAGGTGCGACGCTCGCAGGGCATTCCCAGGGCAACAGAGCACCCGTGACGCATGGGGCGTGGCTTCCCAAGAGGCCCAACTTAGGGTTGCCACGGCTCCCGGGCCACTCTCCCGGGGCAACGGCGCCACAGGGGTCCCCTAATCGGGGCACAATGAGCATCCTCAGGGCCTCTTCCAGAGGCTCTGGCGTCCCCAGGAGCCCTCCTAGGGGCGGCTTGGCGCTCCTGGGACATTCCCAAGGCAGCGGGGTCGTCTGGGGCTCTCCTTAGAGGTGGATATGCTCTCCTGGACCCTCTCCCGGGGGCAGCGGCGCTAGGGACCCATGACATGAGCAATGACGTAAGCTTGGCCCCTATTAGGGAACAATGGCGCTTGAGGTTGCCAGGGGCGTGGGCGCTCCCAAGGGACCTCCAGATGCTGAGGTGGTACTAGGAGCCCTCACAAGGGGTGGCAGCACCTTTAGGAGCCCTACCACAGGAGGCCGAGGTTCTCCTTAGGGGTGGCAGTGATCCCAGTTGCCGGGGTGGTAACCCCAATGTCCCTGCATTGGCCGGCGAACCTGCAAGGGACCCTCCAGGGGTGGTGGTGGCCCCACCCGAGGCCTTCCAGGGGCAGGCTGGCTGGGGTGCCACACCGGGGACGGCAGCACCCCCATGGGCCCTCTCTATGGGTGGCAACGTCCCTGAGGCCCTTTTTCGAGGCCAGCTGATTGCCTCAAGGCCTCCAAGGGCAGTCGTGACCCCAAGGGCCCTGCCAGTGGCAGCAGCTCCCAGGAGCCCTGCCTGGGGGCGGCATCGCCTGCAAGGGCACTTTCAGAAGGTGGGCTTGACAGGCCTGCCAGAGGCTACAGCCAGCACTCCCAAAGGCCTCTGGGGACTTGGCAACCCCAGGTCTCTCCTGGGAGCAGCAGCCTCAAAGGGCCCACTCCCAAAAAGTGGCGGATCACATAGGGGCCCTACCATTAGCCTGTGGCACCCCAGGACCTCTTCCAGAACTGTAGGTCCCCACGTGCCCTCCCAAAGGGCGGCGGCGCCCTGGGGCCCTCCACGGTTGGTGGGGCTCCCCAGGGGCCCTCCCGAAGGCGGCGGCGATCAGGGAGCCCCTATTAGAGGCCTTTCATGGGATCCCTTTGCTTCCTTGGTTGTGGTGTCGTACATATTGCGTGCGAACAGCAATCCATATAACTGTGATTGGTGGACTAAAATGTAAATCCACCAAATAGCAATATGGAGGGCACAAACAGTCCAGTCAGCATAACACCCCAACTTATGTTTTCCTGTTCTGATATTTATTCTCCTTCACATTGTTCATGAGGAAGATGATACTAGGAAATGTTGTGGTGATTGTATTTATTTAACGTCATATCTCCATTGTTCTAAATAGTGCAGAACCAACTGCCCCAGGGGCCCTATGGGAGGTCAGCACTCCCTGGAGCCTCCCATTTGCCCTAACAGGTGCGCTCGCAGGGGCATTCCCAGGGGGGCAACAGCGCACCCAACTGGCCCCTTCAGGGGCAGTGTGGCTCCCCAAGGGCCCAACCCAGGGGTGCCGGCTCCCCAGGGGGCCCTCTCGAAGGGGCAACGGCGGCCTGGGTGTCCCTGTCAGGGGCTGTGAGGCATCCTCGGGGCCTATTCAGAGGGTCTGGCGTCCTGGGGGTGCTCCTAGGCGGCGGCGCCCGTGGGGAGACCCTCCCAAGGGCAGCTTATGGGGCTCTCCCTTTGGGTGGAGAAACCGCCATGGTTCCCTCTCAGGGCAGCGACACAAGGGGCCCCTGACTAGGGCTGTGACGTCTCAAGGGGCCTGGCCAGGGCGATGGCGCCCCAGAAGTGCTCAAGAGGCGTGGGCGCTCCCAAAGGTTCTCAGATGCTGAGCTGGTACTAGGAGCCCTCACAAGGGTGGCGGCGTCTTTAAGGGGCCCTACCACGGGGTGGTCCTCCTTAGGGGTGGCCAATCCCAGGGACCCTGCCAGGGGCAGTGGCCCCAGAGCCATCCCACGGGTGGGGCGCCCCAGTCCCACCATTGGCCAGCCCGAACCTGCAAGGACCACTCCCAGGGGTGGTGGTGGCCCCACGAGCCTTCCAGGGGCAGCGGCACACCGGGGGCCTTACCAGGGACAGCAGCACCCCCATGGGCCCTCTCTGTGGGTGGCAACGTCCTAGGGAGCCCCTTTTCAAGGCCGGCGGTGCCTCCAAAGACCCTCCAAGGGCAGTCGTGACCCCAGGGCCCTGCCAGTAACGGCGACGCTCCTGACCTGCCTGGGGCGGCATCGCCTGCAAGGGCACTTTCGGGAAGGTGGAGCCCCAATAGGCCTGCCAGAGGCTGTAGCACTCTCCAGGCGCCCCCAGGTCTCTCTCAGGAGCAGCGGCTCAAGGGCCCTCCCAGCGTGAGGATCCTTGGGGACCCTGCATTAGCTGTAGCGCACCCAAGACCTCTTCAGAACTGTGGAGTCCCCGTGCCCTCCCAAGGACGGCGGCGCCCTGGGGCCTCCACGGTTGGTGGGGCTCCCCGGGGGGCCCTCAGAGGCGGCGGCGTCCGAGGAGCCCCTGGCGGCCCCCTCGCAGGATCCAATAGCTTCCTTGGTTGTGGTGTCGTACATATTGCATACGTCCAGCAATCCCTTACTTAACTGTGATTGGTGGACTAAAATGTAAATATACCAAATAACAGCCAATAGGAGAACAGAGCAGTCAGTCAGCACAACACCCCAACTTATGTTTTCCTGTTCGATATTTATTCTCCTTTGCATTGTTCATGAGGAAGATGATACTGGAAATGTTGTGGGCGGTGTATTTATTTAACGTCATATCTCCCATTGTTCTAAATAGTGCAGAACCAACTGCCCCAGGGGCCCTACGGGGTCAGCATTCCCTGGAGCCCTCCCATTTGCCCTAACAGGTGCGACGCTCGCAAGGGCATTCCCAGGGGCAACAGAGCACCCAGCGGCCCTTCCACGAGCAGTGGCTTCCCCAAGGGCCCAACTTAGGGTTGCCGGCGCTCCCCGGGCCCCTCTCAGGGGCAACGGCGCCCCCAGGGGTCCCTGTCAGGGGCTGTGGTATCCTCAGGGCCTCTTCCAGAGGCTCTGGCGTCCCCAGGGCCCTCCTAGGGGCGGCGGCGCTCCCTGGGACATTCCCAAGAGCAGCGGGTCGTCTGGGGCTCTCCTTAGGGGTGGATATGCTCTCCTGGACCCTCTCAGGGGCAGCGACGCCCCAAGGGACCCATGACATGGGCTGTGACGTCCCAAGCGGCCCTATTAAGGGCAATGGCGCCCAGGGGTCCTTCCAGTGGCGTGGACGCTCCCAAGGGACCTCCCAGATGCTGAGGTGGTACTAGGAGCCCTCACAAGGGTGGCGGCGCCTTTAGGAGCCCTACCACAGGAGGCGGGTTCTCCTTAGGGGTGGCGGCGATCCCAGGGACCCTGCCAGGGGCAGTGGCGCCCCCAATGTCCCACCATTGGCCGGCGAACCTGCAAGGACCCTCCCAGGGGTGGTGATGGCCCCAAGAGCCTTCCAGGGGCGACGGCGCACCCGGGGGCCTTACCAGGGACGGCAGCACCTCCATGGGCCCTCTCTATGGGTGGCAACGTCCCTAGAGGCCCTTTTCAAGGCCGGCGGTGCCTCCAAAGACCCTCCCAAGGGCAGTCGTGACCCCAAGGGCCCTGCCAGGGGCGGCGACGCTCCCAGGAGCCCTGCCTGGGGCGGCATCGCCTGCAAGGGCACTTTCAGGGAAGGTGGAGCCCCAATAGGCCCTGCCAGAGGCTGTAGCACTCCCAAGGCCTCTTCCAGGGGCTGTGGCGCCCCCAGGTCTCTCTCAGGAGCAGCGGCGCCCTCAAGGGCCCTCCCAAAAGCGGCGGATCCCTTAGGGGCCCTACCATTAGCTGTGGCACCCCCAGGACCTCTTCCAGGAACTGTGGAGTCCCCCGTGCCCTCCCAAGGGCGGCGGCGCCCCCTGGGGCCCTCCCACGGTTGGTGGGGCTCCCAGGGGCCCTCCCAGAGGCGGCGGCGATCCCAGGGGCCCTATTAGAGGCGGCCCCTCGCAGGATCCCTTTTGCTTCCTTGGTTGTGGTGTCGTACATATTGCGTACGAACAGCAATCCCTTACTTAACTGTGATTGGTGGACTAAAATGTAAATCCACCAAATAACAGCCAATAGGAGAACAGAGCAGTCAGTCAGCATAACACCCCAACTTATGTTTTCCTGTTCGATATTTATTCTCCTTCACATTGTTCATGAGGAAGATGATACTGGAAATGTTGTGGGCGGTGTATTTATTTAACGTCATATCTCCCATTGTTCTAAATAGTGCAGAACCAACTGCCCCAGGGGCCCTACGGGGTCAGCACTCCCTGGAGCCCTCCCATTTGCCCTAACAGGTGCGGCGCTCGCAGGGGCATTCCCAGGGGCAACAGCGCACCCAGCGGCCCTTCCAGGGGCAGTGGCTTCCCCAAGGGCCCAACTTAGGGGTGCCGGCGCTCCCCGGGGCCCTCTCAGGGGCAACGGCGGCCACAGGTGTCCCTGTCAGGGGCTGTGGTATCCTCAGGGCCTATTCCAGAGGGTCTGGCGTCCGCAGGGTCCTCCTAGGCGCGGCGGCGCCCCGTGGGGCCCTCCCAAGGGCAGCAGGGCCCCTGGGGCTCTCCTTTGGGGTGGAGAAGCTCTCCTGGACCCTCTCAAGGGCAGCGACGCCCCAAGGGGCCCCTGACATGGGCTGTGACGTCTCAAGGGGCCCTATTAGGGCGATGGCGCCCCAGGAGTCTTCCAAGGGGCGTGGACGCTCCCAAGGGACCTCCCAGATGCTGAGGCGGTACTAGGAGCCCTCACAAGGGTGGCGGCGTCTTTAGGGGCCCTACCACGGGAGGCGGGTCCTCCTTAGGGGTGGCGGCAATCCCAGGGACCCTGCCAGGGGCAGTGGCCCCCCCCAGGGGCCATCCCACGGGTGGGGGCGCCCCCAAAGTCCCACCATTGGCCGGCGAACCTGCAAGGACCCTCCCAGGGGTGGTGGTGGCCCCACGAGCCTTCCAGGGGCGACGGCGCACCCGGGGGCCTTACCAGGGACGGCAGCACCCCCATGGGCCCTCTCTATGGGTGGCAACGTCCCTAGAGGCCCTTTTCAAGGCCGGCGGTGCCTCCAAAGACCCTCCCAAGGGCAGTCGTGACCCCAAGGGCCCTGCCAGGGGCGGCGACGCTCCCAGGAGCCCTGCCTGGGGCGGCATCGCCTGCAAGGGCACTTTCAGGGAAGGTGGAGCCCCAATAGGCCCTGCCAGAGGCTGTAGCACTCCCAAGGCCTCTTCCAGGGGCTGTGGCGCCCCCAGGTCTCTCTCAGGAGCAGCGGCGCCCTCAAGGGCCCTCCCAAAAGCGGCGGATCCCTTAGGGGCCCTACCATTAGCTGTGGCACCCCCAGGACCTCTTCCAGGAACTGTGGAGTCCCCCGTGCCCTCCCAAGGGCGGCGGCGCCCCCTGGGGCCCTCCCACGGTTGGTGGGGCTCCCAGGGGCCCTCCCAGAGGCGGTGGCGATCCCAGGGGCCCTATTAGAGGCGGCCCCTCACAGGATCCCTTTTGCTTCCTTAGTTGTGGTGTCGTACATATTGCGTCCGAACAGCAATCCCTTACTTAACTGTGATTGGTGGACTAAAATGTAAATCCACCAAATAACAGCCAATAGGAGAACAGAGCAGTCAGTCAGCATCACACCCCAACTTATGTTTTCCTGTTCGATATTTATTCTCCTTCACATTGTTCATGAGGAAGATGATACTGGAAATGTTGTGGGCGGTGTATTTATTTAACGTCATATCTCCCATTGTTCTAAATAGTGCAGAACCAACTGCCCCAGGGGCCATACAGGGTCAGCACTCCCTGGAGCCCTCCCATTTGCCCTAACAGGTGCGGCGCTCGCAGGGGCATTCCCAGGGGCAACAGCGCACCCAGCGGCCCTTCCAGGGGCAGTGGCTTCCCCAAGTGCCCAACTTAGGGGTGCCGGCGCTCCCCGGGGCCCTCTCAGGGGCAACGGCGGCCACAGGTGTCCCTGTCAGGAGCTGTGGTATCCTCAGGGCCTATTCCAGAGGGTCTGGCGTCTGCAGGGTCCTCCTAGGCGCGGGGGCGCCCCGTGGGGCCCTCCCAAGGGCAGCAGGGCCCCTGGGGCTCTCCTTTGGGGTGGAGAAGCTCTCCTGGACCCTCTCAAGGGCAGCGACGCCCCAAGGGGCCCCTGACATGGGCTGTGACGTCTCAAGGGGCCCTATTAGGGCGATGGCGCACCAGGAGTCTTCCAAGGGGCGTGGACGCTCCCAAGGGACCTCCCAGATGCTAAGGCGATACTAGGAGCCCTCACAAGGGTGGCGGCGTCTTTAGGGGCCCTACCACGGGAGGCGGGTCCTCCTTAGGGGTGGCGGCAATCCCAGGGACCCTGCCAGGGTGCAGTGGCCCCCCAGAACCATACCATGGGTGGGGGCGCTGAGAATCCACCATTGTGGGCAGACCTGGGGTCCTCCCAGGGTGGTGGTGGCCCCCACCTGAGCCTTCCAGGGGCGGCGTGGCGCAGGTGCCACCAGGGATGGGCACTTTGGGCCTCTGGGTGGCAGCATCCTAGAGAGACCCTTTTCAGGAGCTGGCAGTGCTCAGGCCTCAGGGCAGTCGTGACCCAAGGGCTGCCAAGTGGCGCTCCCAGGGCCTGCCTGGGGCGGCATCGCCTGCAGGGGCTTTCAGGGAAGGTGGAGCCCCAATAGGCCCTGCCAGAAGCTGTAGCACTCCCAAGGCCTCTTACAGGGGCTGTGGCGTCCCCAGGTCTCTCTCAGGAGCAGCGGCGCCCTCAAGGGCCCTCCCAAAAGCGGTGGATCCCTTAGGGGCCCTACCATTAGCTGTGGCACCCCCAGGACCTC